TCGAGTCGACTCGAGTCCGAGTCATGACTCGGACTCGCCCAGCCCTGGTCTCAACCATAGAAGAAATTTTCGAAATTTAGATCGTAAGAATGAAAAGAAAGTTCAGATGACTTTTAGCCATTCTCTTTGTCAAAAATCTGCTTTTATGTAAAGTGGTACTATCAAAGATAATATAATTTCTGCCAGCGAGTTCTTTATCATTTGCTTTTCGTATTAATCACCTTCTGTAGGTGATTCGACAAGTAGGGTGGTTAAACACATTTGGATAAAATTCAAAGTTCTTATCGTTAAATTAGGCTATTTAAAGTATAGACCTTCTCAGTGTGTACCGACCAGAATGTTTAAGTTTTCAGCTGTCTACGGTGTTTATAAGATGCTCAAAACTGAAAATTTCAGTAAGATCTCTTATTCTGTTTTCTTGATGGTTAAAGGAAACTTTTCAAATAACATCATAAAAAGATTGACTTCATATTTTTGAAAAAGGTTAAAAAAATATACTAAGGTGAGAATTTCAGATCTATTTTCCTTATATATGGAACTGATGCTAACATGAATTTCTCGTTTAACACTTTTTACAATCTCTTTTGTAAATATGAAACATATGTATATATCTAATACTTCTCACCACCTCTTTCCATTCATCAAAAAACAAAAATTAAAGAATCTGCCGAAACTTTGAGCTTTAATCATGCTATATATACTGCTAACATCTTAAAACTACAGGGTGGCGCAAAAGTCACTTTACCCAACAACAAAAAATTGAATATCTTCATTACGGCTTGGTTAAACGGGCGCATTTTTTTATCAAGGATGAAGGCATATTCACGTTCCAAATCCATACGAACAAGGTTAGTGAAAAATCTTTGTTAAATATCACTATTGACCTCAACAACAAAATTTTACTTGTTCTTACATAACAAAAGAAAACAATATACTTAACACAGATTTTCACTAACCTTGTTCCTATGGATTTGGAACGTGAATATGCCTCCATCCTTGATAAAAAAGATGAGCCCGTTTGGGCAAGCCGTAATGGAGATATTCAATTTTTTGTTGTTGGGTAAAGTGACTTTTGCGTCACCCTGTAGAATATCATGGTCGGTACACAGCAACAGCAGCTGACGTTTCAAATTTATAAGTTTGATAGTGAGACCTTCACTTTGACTCCAACAGGTTCCATTTCCTTAACTGACGATATAAGCGTCTCTGCTAAAGGTGATAGTTTGTGTCACCTGCACTTTAATAATTGTTTTGCCGTGTTCGTGAAGAAAAAAATTCAAGTTTTGCATATCGAGCTTAATCTGTAGACAATCTTTTTTACAAAACTAAAACTTGTTAAGTTACTTCATTGAAACTTTGACTTTCATAATCAGCTTTTCGATCACACTTTTTTGGAACACCACTCACGGTTTAACTCACGAGTTTATGTTTATTTTCTAAAAAGATCATTTATAATCTACGATTCAGTTGAGTTACATTTAGCTGTTTACGATGAATCATCCCATCTATGGCAGAAGAATTCCTGATGAAAAATATCAAACAAAACATTTTATTATACAGAATCATTTCTGTCCTAAATTTTAAGGTTTTTCTGATAAATCTGTCATGGATTGCAATTCAACGTTTAGCGAATCTTAGTTGAGCATTCTCAACAACCTTTATAAAAAAAATAATCCTTCTTTGCCGAAAAAGTTCTTTCTCTCGCGGAAAAATTAGAGATATAACAATACTAGTACAGTAACATGAAAGCGGGTCAATACATGTTCCATACAGTCCCCATAGTTCAGTACTATATTGTTGCTGTAACATGCGTCATTATAAGGTTTTAAAGGATTCTCAAAGGTTTCTAGAGATTTCTGAAGATTTCTAAAGATTTCCAAAGATTTCTAAAGATTTCCAAAGATTTTTTGAGATTTCTAAAGATTTCCAAAGATTTTTAAAGACTTCTAAAGATTTCCAGAGATTTCAGAGGTTAAAATCTGCTTTTCCCCCCTTGCACACACCACACCCTGCTATGCACATATAAAATATTCTAGTCAAATGTATCCGTCGACCATGATACATATATACATCTCATTCTATCTGTAGAAACGACATATTCATTCTTTTGTTTGATTTAAAAAAAGAGTTGTCAAATGCTGAACTACATAGCCTTGAATGACGAAGAAGAATTTTATTTCTGTGAACATTAATCTTTATGTTTCTAAATATCTCATTTTTCTAATGTGACACACAAATTATCCATTGTAAAATGCTTTGCATCACAACACCAATCGCAAATCGGATTGAAATTTATGGTATCGATGTCAGACCAGTTGAGTTCAATAAAGGTTCTACTTTGTGTAAATAATGATACTGATTACGTATACAAAGTGGTACCTTCTCTTGTACCAGTTATCTCCAATGTAACATTATCATACCAAACTGCGCATGAATAAAATGAATTTATTGTAAATGTATTTGTAGCTGCATTTGTAATAGCCATAGGACTACCCCATCCATCAAAGGCAAGATATGGAGGGCTAACAACACCAGTTCTATAGCCACTGGTAGGATTACTAGTGTTTAAACCATTCAAAACCAGAACATTTTCCCAATTCAAACCACCGTAGCCATTCGGTACTGGAACTCCTGATGTGTTCGTTATATTTGTTATATCATCAAAAGTTATTAATAATGATGGTTCTAGACAGGCCACAAATCAACGTGAAAATATTTAATTGTTTTTATAATGAGAAAGTTATCTATAGGCTATTCTGACTAGCATCAAAGTATACTTTTCGCATGTAGAACAAAGAAAACATGCAAAAAATTTCGTAAATAAATAATATTGAAATAAATAAAATTCGTTTGAATATCTAGTTAAATGTCTCATCAATTGATTGAAAGCAGCTGTACCCCACGAGTCCAAAATAGAAAAGATCCGATTTTTAATCAATTTTATTCTTATTTTTCGAAAAAATGAGTATAGCAGAACTCATACCAATTTTCAAATAATATTTTTCAATGAGATATTGACAATGATGCTTCGTTGATGAAATAAAATAAACAACATTTTACGATCGATCCTTACTCGACTTTATACCCCAAGGCAATCTGGTGCTAAAAGCCGAGATGAATAGAGCAGCAATGATAACAATGGCAAACATAATTGTTTTTGTTGAATTACGAGTGGTATCAAGTAGGGGCGTAACCAGAAAAAAGGCGTAGAGGGGGCTCTGCCCCCTC